TCAAGAAATGGTCCAACGCTTTGACATACTATAAACTCACTTTGATCAACATTTTGATCAAATTGAGACTCATCGTAATCAGCAGGATGTGAGGCATAATGAAGATATGGGGTGGATCTGAGGGAATTTCGACTCAGCCAACACTATTATAACTATGATTAGTAGTTACTTTATAGTGTTCAACCATCCACCACCTCCAAATTAAGGCCCCTCGAGATATTAATTATACTTTTGTGTTGTACTTACTGATGAAACTTTTGTACTAATTCTTGAGATGTTATGTTTGTTTGTGATTTCATGTGTTATTTTTGTGATTTTCATTTCTAGTAAGATGGTTGTTGTTTGTATGTGTTTAGAATGGAATTTTGAAATGATGGAATTGTATTTTGACATGCATTGAAATTACTCTTCTTGAAATATTTATATTTTTGGAGACAAATCACTTGTAGTTAATCTCTATAATTGAATTTTAAATTATTTTGCTCTATAAATTAATTTTCTTACAAAATTTAATCTCTCAAAATTTTAAATTACATTATGATTGGTTGTAGATTAGAAAATCAATTTCATATTCTTATAGACAAGTATTATTTAGCTATAATTATTGTAAGATAGATGTCTTATTTTTATTTGATTTCTTTTTCAATGTGTTTATTTTATTTATTATTGAAATTTGTGTTAAGATTTATTGACATTGAAAAGAACGTGAAAAATAAAAAAAAAATGCACAAAGTGTGCCAAATTTAAAAAGATGTGCAATATTCACCAAATTGAAAAGAGGCACAAATTTAGCCAGAACTAAAAAGTAGCACAAAGTGTGCCACAAACAATTCAAAAGATGTGCAATATCACTAATTAAAAAGTTTATATTGTTCTTTCCTTTATCATTATATCTCTTATACCAATCCATATAATCGACAATCATCTTCACTATTGAATTAGAAAATAATTAGTCTTTATTTCATTATTTTTGTAATAATTATTATTTTTTTATTTGTCTAATGATCCTGGTTGACTTTTCTTATCTTAGTTGTTCTTTGATTTAGAATTTCAATTTTTTTTAGATTTAGGGAATTAATGTTGAATTCACAATTACTTTACGGTCTTCTTCTTCATCAACTATTTTGATTTATCAATGAAAACTTATCTTTTCAAGAGGTACTTCTCTTTTTCCTATTGATAAAAGGGGGAGTTATTAGTTATTGTTTGATGTTGTTTGATGTTTATTTTGATTTTTGTGATGTGTGTATTGTGTTAGTGTGTGTATGTTTGTTGTTTTATTTTAGTAAGTTTTTGGGTCTTTATTTTTATTTTAGTTTTTGAGTCTTTTATTTATTTGTTCTATTTTTTATTTTCATTGAAATCTCTTATTTAAATTGGTCATTCATTTAGGAGGAGCTAAGAAGAAAATTGGCCTTAACTGTTAACCCAAGTAATATTTATTTTGTCATCCTAAAAAAGGGGGAAACTATATTTTTATATTATGTGAGTTTTTTATGATACCAAAATCTTATTATGTTGATTACTATTTCTTCTAACATATATTGAAAAAAAATTATTTGTATTAGTTATGTAATATATTTCAGGAAAATCATACTACAGACTCCTGAAGACTTCAAGATAGATTAGATTAGGGTTTATTGTAATTAAAGTATGTACTTTTTTCTATTTTTCTTGAGTTTTAGAGTGTGTGATTGTAATTGGGTAACCATGCACACACACACTAGGGGAGTGAGTCAAAACTTATATTTTTAAAACTAATCATATTATATGATTCTGGAATCGTACTAGACGATTTGACATGAAAGTTCCTTTAGAACAAATTTAATCAAATCATGCCTAGAATTTTTCCATGTAATGTTTGTACTGTATGAAATTGGATTTATATAGACAATATCTAGAGTACAAAATGGATACATACCTGTTCGTCCCGAGCGAACTCACCATTTTTTGTACTGATCGTACTGTACGAAGTGAAGTTTGTATATACGACATCTAGAGTATGAAATGTGCGCGTACTAGTTCATCCCATAGGAATAGGTAATTTTTTTTTAAACTATTCATACTGTTTAAAATTACTTTTGTACAGAGGATCTATAGAGTATGAAATGGGCTCGTCCATGTTCGTACCATATGAAATATGATTTGATTTAACCAATTTGTACTGTACGATATGGGGTTTGTACAGACGATGACTAGAGTACGAAATGGATTTATATACAATCATACAAGACGAACCTGTTCAATTTTGAACTATTCATATTATTCAATGTCAGTTCATACATACGACTACCATAGTACAAAATCAATTCGTATAGGATCGTACATGGATTTTTTGAACTGTTCGTGCGTATGAAGTATGATCGTACTATACGATCCTAGTACGTTTGACTTGAAATTTTTAGTTTTCTAGACGGTTTGTGTTGTCCTTCATATTTAATAGTCCTAAAAATTGACTCTCACAACTACTTATGATAAATTTTCTTTTGAGAGTGAGTGTGACAGTATTTAGGGAGATTGTTTAAGAGTGAGGATTGAGAGATATTGCAAGTGGAAATTGTGAAAGGTTCACAAGGTTGCCCAAAGGTGAGGATCTATTTGTATGTCTTCGAATCTCTTCCCTACTTCTTTGAAGATTATTGAGAGAAGATCTTTGGAGAAAGTCTGGTACGTTGTCGTCACTAGGAGGGTGAGAAAGGATGCCGATACTCTGCTATCACCAGGAGGGTGAAAAAGGATGATTGTTCTCTACCATCACCAGGAGGGTGAGAAAGGATGCCCGTTCTCTGCCGTCACCAGAAGGATGAGAAAGGATGACGGTACTCTACCGCACCAAAGTTGGTGGAAGAGAGGATATGGTAAGGGCTTCTCTACATTGCTGTGGGAACAAAAGGAGAGTCACTTTGGTATAGTGCAATACCTGAAGAAGGTGTCTTCAGGGAGTGGACATAGGTCTAGTTGAACCAAACCACTAAAAAATTTGGTGGTCCTTTGCCTTTACTTTTTATTGCTATTTATTTTTTGCACATTTTATTTTTGTAGTTGAAAAATAACTTTGAGAAAATTTTAATTATAGTTCAAAAAATTAAATCAATTTTCTAGAATTACCAAGAGTTTTTTTTTTAATTACCAATTCACCCCCCTCTTGATTAGACTTGGGATAATTGTATTAGGTCTAACAACCTATTCGAACTTTCATAAATGACTGTTTTCCTTAGTGGTATCACCTTAACACTCGGCACATGGTGTTAACTTCTTGGTACCTCTTGAATATTTACTCAAGATACTCCCCCACAAATTCTCATTCTAATAATTCTCATCTGCAGTCGATGCTACTGGATTCATTTCTTTGTTGTCATTTAACTAATGGCTCATGCTTATCCATAAGGCTCTTACTTTGGAATCCAATGCATGATGCCAACTTTTGAGTGTCAGCCTTATGTTAGCATTAGCAAGATTACTTCTTGCCTAAAGAAATTATTCCACTTAAAGTTGAGTTTTCTCATTTTACATAAAAGCTCATTATATGCTAACAAAAAGAAGATGATGATTGTCTGTGATTAGAAGAACTTGATGCTTTGGATAAGGTGAGATTCTAAGCTCAATAAAATTTCATTTTACATAAAAAAACTCATTATATGCTAACCAAAAGAAGATGATGTTTGCCTAAGATTGGAAGAACTTGATGCTTTTGGATACGGTGAGGTTCTAAGCCTAGTAAAATCTCAAATGCGCCTAGCACCTTATTGGTTGGCCCAATCGAAGTCTTTTAAAGATGGGGATCTCAAACTAATTCTTCGAAGATTGATCATTGCTCACCACTACCTCAATGTCAACTTAAGTTAAACTGGAAAATAGACTTTTGTCATAAGAAATGGCATATGAAGGTGGGGCATATGAGCATATGAACAATAAAGGTGAATGTTGGATGCCCTCTATAAATGTATGATAACTTAAAGTATTATGCTTAGTGATTAGTTATGCAAAATCTTAGTTGGATTTCATAAAACATGAGCTATGTATGGGTCAATAAAATATAAAAATCCTTCCAAATTTGACTAATATTTTGGCCATAAAAAACTAAAATTCAAAATTTTTTAATAGTCGAGCTACTCTCCTATAATAAGGAGTATTCATATACCACTTATAAATTCTAATTGCACAAAGTCAATAAAACCTAAAGGCATACATTCCTTATAAATTCATCCTTATTTTAGCCATCAAAAATTAAAAGTCAAATCATGTGTTCCCAATCTCAACCATTACTACTAAAAAAAACTCAGTTCAAACTTTATATGAGATTTCATTGTTGAGGGTATGATTATATGCCATATGCCCTTAAAAACTAATAAATATGGTTATTTAATGAAGATTACATATTAAATTTTCTTGCAATTTTTACTTATAAATCTTGTATATATGATTTTTTTTTTATCTTTCATTCATTTGCTATATGTTATATTTCTTCAACTACACAATAGTATATGTTACATGTAATTACTTACTATTGTATATTAAAATTAACATGTAAAAAGTAGCAGCTATATGAATAAAAAGTAGCAGCTCTTACATCATATTTACATTTTTGATGTAACTCACCTTGGTCTGTTGGTTGAGAACTTTGATCATCAATCAAGAGGTCTTGGATTCGAGTCTTGTATATGTAATGTGTATGAATTTGTTTTAATAGACTTGAATGTCCAAAAAAAAAACTTTTCATGTTTGAGTGTTTTGTCTTGTATGTTTACATGCCTACCAGTCATATAATAAATATGAGTGCATGAAATGAAATATAAAAATTTTAAGTGTTAGATATATAAATAATATTAAATAAAATAGTATGTATGTAAATTCCCATTTTTAAATAATTAATTTTATAACAATTAATAATTGACGTAACGCTCTTTCGTAATGGTTCGGAACTCGACATCGAACCAATAATTTGATAACCAACCTCCGACTCATAACTAAAATGACATGTATCCCCCATCACCCCATGTACTGCGCCGCCGCAGGCTGTGACCTCAGCTAAGCTTTCCTCCATAGAACCATCGCCGGAGCTCATCCTTCAAGATGGACTCATCCCCTCTTCTTCCCTTCTCCGCTCCATCCTCCCCTTCCGTCTCCGCGGTCGCCTTGGTCGGTGTCGTCGATCACCGCGGACTTCCCGCCTCCCGATCGTCCTCTGGACAGTGGACCGCCGCACTTTTCATCATCGGTAATAAATATCATCTTCATTTCCCTACCTTCGTCTCCCGGTTCACATCGCCACCGTCTATTCGGCTTCTGTTCTCTGATCCTGTGACCTCGTCGCAGGGGTGGAGATTGCGGAGAGGTTTGCGTATTGTGGGATCTCTTCGAACCTCATTACTTATCTCACTGGGCCGCTCCAGCTGTCGACGGCAGCGGCGGCAGCTGGTGTTAATACTTGGTCGGGAATGGCGATGATGTTGCCGCTTGCTGGCGCGTTAATCGCCGATTCGTATCTTGGGCGTTACAGGACAATTTTGTTAGCTTCTTTGCTCTACATTTTGGTCGGCTTTTTTTCTTCCCGTAAACTTGATGAACAATTAGATATCTGAGTTTCAAGTCCAATTTTATCACCATGGCCTAAGCATGATTTTATGCAATCGATAATTGGACTGTTTAGATTCACATAATTTCATTATCCATCGATACCCTTTGCTAGTTAGTGTGTTGTGGATAGTAGAAGCTTTGATGTTACTAGTTATTATTATTGTCAGCATTTATAATTTTAAAAAGATTGCAATGTTCTTTATTGTCATGAAAAATAGACGAATGTAAAGGAAGTGGTCTGGATATCTTTGCCTGATAATAAAGGGATTAACCAAGTGAAGCCAGAAAATATTTTTAGCTGGGGCATGCAAATATAATGTCTATAGTTGTTTAAATGTTCTATAAATAATGCAATAAACTCTTAAGTATTTCAAAATTTTATACAAAGTAATTAAGTTATGCAATATCTTTGCATAAAATAAAATATCATTCTTTCAATTCTATTGAGTTAATTTGTTGGTTGATGCCTTTAGTGTGAGTCGTGAGAGGAAGGTATAAAGACAAGAAGGGTCTGAGTGAAACATGTAATCATAATTGCATATATAGAGGAGGCAGATCAAGACAAATTGTAAATCAATAAATCTTAGAAATTTTGGGAAGGGGATGATTAGATTAGGGCATGAATTTGCGGGATGGGGCATGTAAGGGATATATAATATAAATAATTTGTTGGAAAATTTTATGAGATTAATTTAGATAATGATTTTTGGTAATTTCTAAAAAAATATATTGAAAGAAGTAGTTAAGGAAAAATGAAAAAAAAAGTTAGGAAAGATAATTCTTTTTATTAAAGCGATAAAAAATGTGAATAAGCAACAATTAAAATTAAATTTTGCTCCTTACATCCCTCCTTAAAAATAGCTATGGGCTTTTAGAACACACCTAAGAAAATGAGGGCAGGTGATTCTAGGAAATGGAGGTTGCTTTTAGGCCTTCATTTCTTTATGCTTTCATAATTTTTTATTTTTATTTTTTTAAAATAATTTGACATTATGAGTGTTGATTTGCTAGATCAATTAAGGAACTACTAAAAATAGTTCAAAAAAAAAAAAAAAAGATGCATGCTAAATCGCTTGGAAGATAAGATAAATGGGCAGAAGTGTCAAGGGAATGATAATATAGATGAGAAATTTAAATAATTGTAGTATATGGAGGCTAAAAATCTATTTTGTTTCTTCTTAGCATTCTTTTTTTCTCTTATACCACTCCTAATTTCACTCAATGTACAAAACTTAGCACAAAGATTATGATGTCCCAATTGGTACCTTGGGGGCATATTTATCTGCACTAAAATAGTTCATTTGGTAGTTTTACATGTGATTATTTTGGTCAATTCATCACTAATCCCTAGTTAATTTTGTTCCTTTCACATCAATCATGTGATAATTTCTACCAAAAAATTTATTAAGTTAGGTCAAATCATATTTTGTTTTTATTATTGATTTTCTTATCTTCTTTGATTTGTTGTACCTAGAGGGATCCACAAATGATGCAGACATTATTGATTCTATGATTAAGATGAACCTACCCTAACAAGCCGCACTGTCAATCTTATATATACTTTCCTTTCTTGAAAGATAAAGAAAAACTATAATATTCTCATCAAATGAGTGGCAATAACATGCACTGAAATGCAATCTATTTGACTTATCTATGTTCTTCTCCAATTGCTTTCAAACCCGGCACAATGTTGGATTTACATATGGTTTGAATGGCAATCCTTTTCAAAACATAAAGTATATTGGAAGCAAAAAATTTATAAATTGTATGTCACTACTATCTAATTTAATTTTTCCAACTACTTCCTCAAAGATCGAAGCTATTTATTGCCAAATTTGCATGTGTAAGTGGATCAAGTTTATGTGCATCTTTGTTATAGGGATAAATGGACCAAGTTCCTCCATTTCAACATAAATATCATTCTTATTCTTTGATTTCTATAAATCTTATGGCAATCTCTTAACCGAGTTGAAAACTCATGCCAAATTCTTCCTTGCTAGAGTCTAGTTATGTTTTGTTCGCTGCATCATATTTAAGTGGCTGTTTGAGGATGTTGAACATATTATTCTTTTTATGAGCAGTTGGTTAGAGACTTTGACATTTGGAGTTTACAGATAAGAACGAGGTATTAAAGATATTGGCTATTGCAATGTTAGGGAATATGTGAATGAGCAACGGTGGATACAATCTCGCTATAAATATGTGTATTGTATGTATTTTTTAAGCCACTCACATCCAATTATATTGGCTTTCTCCTTTTTCACCCCTTCCTTAATGAAGATTACTCTATATTATAGTTTTCTTGCCCACCAATATATTCTTCCTTTGTTATTGTGGCTAACCAGTTAAGGGAGGTCATGGGTGTGGTTATTAAGGAGGGACCATTAGGCAATCAGATAATTGGCACTGTCGAATTCTTCAACACATATACTCTTTTTGTCTTTCCTTATCAATACACCAGATTTGCAACAGCTTTCAATTGGATCAAAGAATCAATAGCCACCTTTAACACATGCCTAAGCTTTGTAGAAAAAGTCCAACTTCACATAGTTGTAGTCATTTTAAAAAAATATTATTTTCCTTTAAAATTTTATATTGATCATAGAGGTTCTGCATGTTTCTTTTTCATCATGTTCTTGATGAGTTTTGTTTCTAATCACTTTGTAATGTCGTTGGATAGTTCAATTGTTGCAAAGGATACCAATGCTTGTTCAGAAAAGAGAGAGAATATATGAGAATGTTCAAAGGTAGTGTAAAAGAGATTAGCCTTATGACTGGCTTGACAATTTGTAATTTCTATCGCACACCCCTGTGGGTGTCATCACAAGAATTAAAGAGTCTCTAAGAGATTAGCTATCCAGATGTCACCTGGTGTTTCACATTCTATTAAATCATCATCATTCTCAATAGCGGTTTAAATCATTTGGTTGGATTATTAATTAATTGTTCAATTTTTCTATAATTTGTTTAGGTTTTCCTGAAATCCATTCAATCCTATTCTAAATGGATATTGTGGGCTCTGAAAATTCGGCCCCGGCCTCCCCGTTGCTTTTCAGGGGAGTTTTAACAGATTAAGTTCCGAGGTAAATTTTGAAAATGTTGATCGGGTTTGTAGATAAGACACTGCCCAGATATTTCGCCCTCATTTTGCGAGGATTTTATGATATGAGTTCTGGTTTCATATACATGCAAGCCCCTTTAATTAATTACCCAATCCCGATAGCGAGAGATAACTTTCGATTAAGGCTAGTTGTCAATCAGATACGTAAAGATACACATTATCTGGCATATAGTAGTAGCATGGGCTTAGGGGTTTGAAAATTTTGATATATAAAATTGAAATTTCATCATCTTGTACCTAAAGCGGATGGTGGGAGAATAGTTGATAGACCCGAACAATATCCTATGGTTCCATCATCTCGGGGCATCGTGGTCCCTGGTTTACTTAGTCAGAGGAGGTAGTCGACCGAACCTGACAGAAGGATCCTTATCGGCAGCCATGAGTTGCTTCGTTGAAGGGTACTTTCTAAACTTGTGATGGATGTTTGTCTAAGGAAACAAATTTGAATCCACCTTAGCTGACAGAGGGTTTATTTCCCTATCGATTATATCTTATTAATTCATATCTCAAGGATTTGATGTTATTGGAGAGCATAGGGGCTCTAGCCATAATCGTAATTTGGCGGTGCCATTTGGTCGTGAACCACCTGGTTCAAAGGGCCCTGGTCATAACCGTTTATCCTACGGTGCCATTTGGTGGCAAAATCACGGATTAGAGGACACATGTCACGTCCTTACTGGCAGGAGATGGTTTGAGAATGAATCCTAGTGACATTTTCGATCGGACATTAGCTCTTTGTGAGCTAAAATGATATTTGAATTTGTCCACCTCGACAAACTGTTACGGAGAGTGGATGGATTTTGTTTTAAACATTTGATATTTAATTTCAATTTTAAATATTTTGGATTTTTGAGATTTTTGAATTTCATGGGCATTTGAGTGAAACTTTGAAATATTAGAATTAATCCCTCCTATTGAGATTTTCTGTCAACACAGCCATCATCGAGGTATATGGGGGCATTTGCATTTGAGGATTGAACCTTGTTGACTCTGTCTAGCTGTCAACAAAGGATCAAGTTCATAAGCTTTATGTTTTTGTTGATGAATTTCATTTATCATAGACCTTGAAAGCCTTATATGAATGTATAAAATAGATTTTCCAGTCGAAACTTTGACCGCATATCTGTTTGATAATTCGAGCCGTGTCGACTCCTATCTATCTCTATAGAAGGATCAGGCTCGAATTGTGATTCATTTATTGACCCGCGCAACATCCGTAGATGTCACGTGTGTACCATAACATTGTTGTTGGGGCCCATGCGGGTATTTGATTGCATATGCATTTCTTTGTGTTTATGTGTATACATTTGTGGTGCATGCGCGGGGGCATTTTCAGGAATATTTGACAATGTGCAGTTGTGTGGGAAACCCTCGTTTGAATGCAGCATTCTATTTGGAAGTTTGTACACGCCTTCTGTCCACTTGTATATATATTGTGGATCCTATGGCTTGGCTTCATACGATATTTATTTGTTTGTTTCATACAAGTAGACTGTTGTGCACTACATATTGCATTCTTGATTTCCTTATGTATGTTGATTGGTGAACATCCATATCTACTTGCATGTTTTCTAGTGCTCGTAGGAACTATTGCATGTATTTGTAAGACAATTGACATCGGTCATAGGGACTTCCATATTCTATTGCATGACTTGTGTGAATTTCTAACATGAACTGCGGTCATTCATATGCACTTTATTTAGGAGGCTTCGTACATCTGTTTGCAGTCAAATTATACGTCCCCTCGTATTTTATTGCTTGCAAGGTTGAATATGGTTGTCTGTGTTCTGATGTTGTTTGCAGTAGTGTTGTAAAACAGTTGCTTCATCTGCTAAATGTTCTTCATACCTTGCTCATGAACATGCTGTATCATTCATCACATGACACTTGTGTATGTTTGTAGGTAAATATATATTTTCACACGCAATTAAGTGGCATCGATAGCAAAGCAGAATTATCCTCTTTGCCACCATCCTACTTTGCTTGTAGACATGTTATATCTTCTGCATGCCATCCGTCATTTCTTTAATGTGCCAATTAATGTGTTGATGTTGAATGCTCTGTGTTACTGCATTCGACACTGGACCCTTTCTACATATTAATTAACAAATTGCTACATGTTGTCCTCCCTTGCTTGCAATGGATCATCACCCGTAGTAATATCATTATACATATGGAGAATCATCTGTCGTCGCTAGCGAGCATCTACCCTTGCCACCTGATGCGGACATCGGCACGAAGATCTGGCGCATCTATCACAGGAGGCGTCGTAAATCGACGGCTCTAATTTAAGTTGTCATTTATGAATTATTTTCTGCATTTTAGTTTCTATTTTATGTTATTTTCTATTTTACCCCTAGGTTAATTTATTTGAGTGTTGTGGCCCAAGGAGTATTTTTGTAATTTTCTATTTTCTCATGTTATGGCCTATAAATAAGGGCCTTAAGCTATTGTAATGGATGGTTAACTTGATATGAAAATTTTGTGTGTTCCACATTTGTTCTTCTTGTGAGAGAGCGTTAGTGGGATTCCTATGGGAAGGAATCAAAGTTGTTACCAGCCGCAGGATGGGTCCGGGCTCGTGAATTGAAGTCCCTTGGAGAAGGGCAAACGAATCATCCGTCAGTCTTCGAAAGAGTCCAAGGCTCACGGTTTCTATCATTTTTATTTTCTATCGTTAGTTTCTATCTTTTGTTTTTATTCCTTCATATTGTTCTAGTCGTTTATCTTCTTCCTCTACCTCCGTACTGCATCACCACCATATTGACGTAGATATGTTCGTTGTATGCATCGCAAGCTTTCTGTCATTGTTTGTAGGCAAGTTGTGTTAAATATCGATCTTCTAGTGCTACTAGTGGGCATTCACATTTGATGTAGTCACTTTGCATTTTGCTTATGGACAATATATTGGATGTATAACGGGTCTCCTATAATAGCTCGTAGGGGTTTACCTTTGATGACGGTCTTCTATATTTGTCCGTGAATGACACTTTGTGTATGTGACAAGTCTCCTACGATAATTCATAGGAGTTTGCATTCGCCACCAACCTCTTCATGCACACTGGTTGGAAGGTTGCTTTATTCACTTGCAACACTAATTTGATGTTTGAGTAAACAAGGGGTGACAGAGAGCCAGTGCATGCTCTTTTATCAATGCTCTTGCATGAGATTACACACACACACACACACACATATATATA